AAAAAAAAAAAAAAATAGAGAAAAGATAAGACGCTTACGTTGCGAAACGTTTTCATTATCGATCTTTCGTTCTAAACCCTGAATTATACACTCTGCGTTGCACACGAACGCGAATTAAAAACCGCACCCGGTGTCCCGCGGGGACGCGAAATCGTCGAAGAAGCCGTCATTTCCGGATCCACCGCTCGCCGGTGGTGGTTCCAGCGATTTCCAGTGGAACACGTCTCTAACGAGTAACAGCGGAATCACTTTACGTGCAACGGCCGGGCACGCATATAAATGCGGCTACGGAAAGTTTTGTCAGTTACGATGCCGCAGTTATACTCTCGATGGAGTTGGCAGAGCGGCGGAATATGGTTTCCAGGGGAAAGAAGAATCCCGGAGGAGGATCTCGCGAGAGGGAATCCCACGTAAATACGTGGGATAACTCGCTACGATTCAGATGTACGTATTACGTGCACGTGTATACAGTGCATAGAAGGTATTGCGAGGAGTAAATAGCGGAGCAGAGTATCCGACTTATCTTCTCGCAATTGATTTAAAAGTTTTTATCCCTCTCTTTATTGCAAGGAAAGACACTTTGTAAAAAATTTTTTATTTTTCTTGTCTCGCTTTTTCACGTTTACCTGTTGGCAACGTTCACCCCGATGCAAGCTGATATTTTCCAGCTATTTCGTGGATATACGTATATATATATATAGTATATATATATGTATTGTCGATAAATCGATGATGTTGCTTTATTTATTTAATATAAAATTTATTTAACACGGTTCGTGTCACGCAACGAATAAACAATACGAGACGTGTCCGGTGGCTCGTGATTTATTCGGCCGACCGTTTACACGCACGAAAATTTTTAAATTAGCACCTCGGGGAGTAGGTAAAATAAATTTGTGACGCGCGAATAATTTCCGGGAAACGGGATGAAAATTCGAATTCGAATGTAGGAAGATCGAAGGACGGATGGATCAAACGTGATGGGAAGGTGTATATAAATTGAACGGTTCCACGTTCCTTTTTTCTTCCTCCCCCCTCTCTCCCGTTCCTTTTTTCCGTTATTGCGCAGATATGGATTGCCGCGTGATTAAGCTCGAGTTATTTAGGAATTAAAAGCTGAGAGAATAAAATATCGCGTAACTCGCAATGGCATAATTCACTCCCGAATGATCGAGCGTGAAATTCCCGATTTTTCTCCGGAATTATAATTATTATAGAATGTTATAGAATTTAAAGTTCACTGAAATTTTGTATGTGATTTCATTATTGAATGTTGCCAGCAATGTTACTATTTCATAGTTGGTAGCTATTTGTTTCTCTTCGATACATGTATTTCAAATGTTTTATAAACAGATACGCGCAATCACGTATAATCAAATATATTCATTCAGCTAAACCCGTATATTTTTATTTATTGTTTTCCACTTCCCAGTCAACATAGAAATTATATAAGAACTGATCGTGATCGTAAATGTATCGATAGCAATCTTTTAGCGTACGGAAATAATTATTGGATTATTCTTGCATTATTCGAAATTGTAGGACGTCGTATATTTGCGAATTTTTTCCCTTTTTTTTTAAAGAAGAAACATCGAAATTCTTTTCGAAGAATATCTCGCGATCCCTTGCGGATGGGTCTCCGTAAATGGATCTCGTGTGTCCGTTCGAGATTTATCGTTGTATTACACTGGAAAATGGAGGATGATCGCGGGAACATCTTTATTCCGTTGGACCGGTCCACTTATCGTTAGAAGGAGTCCTTTGTCACCGAGAACGAAGGCGGCATAGGGATCGAAAAGGGCGAGAAGGGATGTGAAACAGGGGGAGGAGGAGGGGGAGTAGGATGGAGAAATGCAAATTGAGGGGGCGGCGGTAGTTATATTCCGGTCTCGTCGCGCGGAAGGGATGAAAAAAAATCGCGCAGGGGGTGCAAGGTCGACATTTTTTACGGATAAAAACCCTCGGTAAAGGGAGGAAAAAGAGACGTGGAAAAGGAAACGAGGATATCTCTCACGCGTTCGCGCGTCTAATAAGAAAAATGTCGGATCGGATGGTGTTTCGGCGCCGATTCGTCGTGATATTACACGCGACCCTTCCTATCCCAACTATAAAACTTTGACTCGTCGCTAAAGTTTCCAGAGGCTGTTTCACAACGATTGAATATTTTTCGTTTCGGACGACGATCGATTCGAGTTCATAATCAACACTTTTTTTCACATTTTTCACGAAAAAAAGGGGAAAAATCTTCGCTCGACGGGTAGGGAATTTATTAAAAATTTTGGAACCGGAATATTACGTACGCGCGAAACATACATTTTCCCCCTTTCTTTTTCCTCTTACTTCTCTCTGGTTTATCTCCGTGACATTCGAATAACACACGGAACCATGCAGCGCGCGTTATTTGTACATTGGGAAATTAATTTTCAGAGTGCTCCGCTTTATTAAAAATCGCATTAAAATGAAATAAGCCCGACGTTTATGATTAGTAGGGAAAATTGTTTGCGGGGCCGAGGCAATATCGTTGATTAAAAGAGCAGGTTCGATTAATTATACGTATATCCGTGGGAGCATTTTCGTTATTATTAAAAGCATTCTTGTCAAAATATATCTCTCGTTGTATCAATGACACTGGCCGCCAATTTTACACCGGACGGATAATTTTAATGTAGAGAAACAAGGGAGACGGGTGTCCGAATAATTGGCTATTGGAGCAAATTACTCGGAAGATCGAAGGGATCGTGGAGGAGGGATGGTTAAACACTCGAGAGGAAAAGAGAAGATAGAGTGAGAAAAAGAAAGGAAAGAAGGAAGGAGATGGGGAAGCGGGAAATGAAGGTTAGAAGAGAGATGACGGCGTAAACAGCACTCTGTATCGACGTCCGCCTTCTCTTCTTTCACCGTGTAACCCTCTTGAGGAGTTTAAGTTCACTTTGGCCTTCTCTCCCCAACATCTTTTTTTTTTCACACTCCTTTCAATCGCTCTGGATCTACCACTCAACGCCACCCCTCTTCCCATCGAGTGTCAACCTTTCCACGACTCGATGCCGAATTCGTCGAAGCGAACAACGATAACAAATCCGGAAGAGCAAATTTCGCGAACGAATTTGTCGAGAAATGTGGTCGAAACGATGGATGGAAATAAATTATAAATTTTCTGAATGGAAATTGATCTTGGTAATGGAGAAACATACAAATAAAAATACAAGAGCGGGAAAAAGTCACACACGATTCTTTCACCTTCGCTCGAAGTGAATACAGTGAATCGAGTGCGAAAGAGGACATTCACAGCCTCGATCAAGTAGCGTCTGTGTTTAACAACGGGCGAGAGAAGAGAATCGTATTATTCAGTGTTGCGCGAATGGCTGTCGCGTGTGTACCACAAAGGGGGTTGGCGTTCCAGAAAGGATTCTACAAAGGGGAAGAAATGTAGCCCCCCCTGCCCTCCCTCCCTCCTGTCGAAAGGAATCCAGGCCGAAGGTCGAGAGAAAGAGAGAAAGAGAGAGAGGGAGGGAGGAGGAAGGGGGTGAAGTTGGACGACGCTCCGCAAGGGCGGAAAACTGAAAAATAGTTGGCACCCGTTGCCATGGCCACTAAGTACTCGGAGTCGCGACGACGACGTACCAACCAATACACCATCCCGCTTCCTTTTTC